CCAGGGGTAAGAAGAGCAGAAACAAGGTACCACCATCCTACAGGGAATCCTGGCAGTGCTTCTAGCAAGCAGGTATAAAACTGTTAGGCAGCCAGAACAGGTGATCCATTGGATGGCCATAATCTTCTCCATGGGGATGTTTGTGGGAATCACAACTAGATGATGCCCGTCAAGCTCGTATCAGATTTGTCTCTCTCTTTTTTCGTATGAAAACATGAGTGTATTTTCATGCATATTTTCCCAAATACATGCACTTGTTGTGCATAGCTTTGACATGTACATGTTCTTTCCCCATGAATTAAAGCATGTTTTGTGCATTGTCAGAAGTATGACCTTTTCATGCCCATTTTTAAATGCCATCAAGCACATTTTTATGGGTCCAGAAATGGATGGACTTCAAGTTCAGATCAACTCTGAGCCTCCATGTAGTCCAGGAGAAACAAACGGGCTGAATCTAAATCCAAACCGTATTTCTCATAAATTGCTACCTCTGGGAGAGGAGATCGTCTGCAACAGCTTCTTTTTGGATGGGGGAAAGGAGGCTAGAATTTTCTTGTGGCTACTGTGCCCCCTGGCCACCATCTTCCATATCCCATAAGCCTTCTTCTGGGGCATTGTGGGACCAGTGGCAGAGACAATGCAGGAAAGATTCTGCAAACTGTCCCTCTTTTTCAGCTGGAGGCTAAGAAAGGCCTCAGAAATATTTGTGAGCTGCTTGCGTTAGCTTTATTGGCCATGATGGGTCTCTGGAGATGCCACTAGTAACAGACTGGATGGAAGGACATCCTGGCCTGTCTCAGGAGTGCCAAGCTACCAAATGTGGGTGTTTGTTGGCCAACCCTGAGCTCATCATCTGATCCCCAACACAAATGCCACTATTGCATCTCTGAAGGGTGGGTGTCCAGCCCCTGTTTAAATAGACCCTCTGGGAGCCATTTTCTGTAGAAAGGAGGGGTATTATCCAAGAAATACATATCTCCAAGGAAGCAATCTTTTCTGCTCTCAGACAGCTCTTTGCATTAGGAAGTTTTCCCCAGTGTTCAGCTGAAATCTGTTTCTCTGAAATTTCACCTCATTTTTCTCTAGCTTTGCCAGCTGGAGCAAAAGAAATTACAACTGAGGCACCTCAGGAATTTTAAGATTTTGTTCATGTCGCCCATTAATCATCTCTCCTGCAGGATAAACGTCACCAACTCTTTCAACTGATCCTCACAGGATTTGGGTTTCCAGATTCCTCACCATCCTGGACTCTCTTCCTCTGAATAAGCTTCAGTGTGCCAATGTAATTCTTAAATTCTGGTATCCAGAATGGAATATGATGATTCAGATACAACAAAGCCCAACAAGAGGGGGAATTTTAAGCAACATTGCTAATCATTCATGTTTTTCACCTGTTTTGTACTGCATCTTCAGAATTAGATTTTATTTTGCATTTTTATCATTTTTCGATAGTGAGCTCATACGTGTGTTCGGTCAGATTCATCCCATGATTTCCTCCACCTGCACTCTAGACGTCTCCCAACCTGCTTCATCGCCCTTAGTTCAGGAGTATACCAGGGGGGTGAACGGGCTCTGCCAGGTGGGAGAGGACGCTTAGGAGCGATTGTGTCAATAGCCCTGGTCATTTCCCCATTCCACAGTTCGACCACAGCAACAACAGGAGCACCAGTCTTATCAACCGGAAACTCCCCTAGAGCCTTCAAGAATCCATCCAGATCCATCCGGCTCCTAGGGCAGACCAACACAATAGGGTCCACACCCTTACAGAGGGAAAGGCCGCTATTGAGCTGAAACCAAACAAGGAAGTGATCTGACCATGACAGGGGAGTCAGATCCAACTTCCTCACCCTCAGATCCCCCTTTTCCTGCCCCATTGAGAAAACCAGGTCCAGCGTGTGTCCACATTCATGGGTCAGGCCTATGACATGTTGAGTTAGCTTCATGGCCATCATGGAGGCCATGAAGTCCTGAGCCGCCCCAGTAAGAACAGTCTCGATGTGGAGATTGAAGTCCTCTAGGACCAGCATCCTGGGGGTCCTCAACACCAGGTCCAAGACTATCTCCATCAGCTCAGGCAGGGAGTCTGTTGGGCAGAAGGGTGCACGGTACACCAACAGAATCCCCAATCTGCTTCGGTCGCCCAACACCAAATAGAGGCACTCTAGACCCAGTCTCGAGAGAATAGGAAGCCTTGTGAGGGAGATGGAGGCTCGGTAAATTAAAGCGACCCCCCTCCCCTTCCCTCTGGGCATGGTCAGTGCTGGACCAGATACTCAGGTGGGCACGGTTGAGAGAGGGAGACATCACCCCCCCTCTCCTGCCCAGGTCTCTGTTATGCAAGCCAGGTCAGCCCCCTCATCCACAATTAAGTCATGGATGAGGGACGTTTTGTTGTGGACCAACCTGGCATTGAGCAACAGCACTGTCAGGTCTGAGGAGTGGTCGATAAGCTTACCCGGAACCTTCTGGTTGGGGGAATAACCAGAAGGGGGAACAGGTGTCAACCATCTGTCCCTCCTTCTTCTACACCGACTTGTCAAACCCCCAGTGCCATAACGACCATTGCCCAAGACCATCCCAATGGTAGCACCCATGCGCCCCCCCAGGCAAACTCATGGCAGTAACCAGAAGTGAATCCATAAAAAAACCTAAGCTAAAATACAAATTAAAAATACAATAAAACCCTAAAAACCCACCAACCACCCAATACAAAACTCCGTCGGACAAAGTGTCTGGCCAGCCCAGCCCCCATACGGCCCCAAACGGTGAGGACGCCCTTAGGCCATCGCCCTTTGGCCTCCAGCCCTGGCCGTGTCCGGCGAATTAAGCCAGCAGCTCGTCTCCGTGCCCCGTCCCCAATCCAGCGCAGCTGCCACCCACGTCAGTGGGGGAGGTGGGCAAGGGCGGCTGCAGAGATACTCGCCAGCAAGAGGGTGATGGTGGGCAGTGCTGGGCCCGCAGTCCAGCCATGGTGTCCCCCGGTTCCGGTCCCACGGTGGCCGCCGTCAGTCTGTCAGTTGGCGGCGTCAGGGGTCCGGCGAGTCTGGCAGGTCCAGCGGGTCAGCTTTGTGGTGCATGGGCGGCGGTGGTCGGTGGAGGGCCCCAGTTCCAGCTACGGCCCAGCCTCTTACCCAGAATGACAACATGCTTAGTTGCAAGACACTCGCATCTTGGTGATCTACATTTCCTGGGAAATTCAGCTACCCAGAGAGTGTCCAAGGAAAACAAAGACCTGGTTTCTGCAACATGAAAAGCCACCATGGGTGATCAGCCATGGTGGACTGTCCTGTCATGCAAACCTAGGGTAGGTTCTGCAGGGTGTTCCCCCCTCTCCCTAAGAACAAGCCATACTGGAACTCCATGGTTTACTTTAGGGTTGCTCATACCCATGATGGCTTGATGTGCCATCTGAACCCAGCAGGGTGATTTTATTGTGGGTTGTCAGGAATAGCAAGAGAGCCACCTGGCCAGAGCAGCAGTGGGCCGCTCGTATTCTGAGAGTGGGTGTGCCTCCCGTAGAGTAAAGTGAAGTAGCCCTTTCAAACTCTGTGTTTGATAGTCATAAAGGCACCTAGGGATGCGTGGGGAGCCTGCTCTGGGGGTGGGAACTGCAGCATCCCTCTTCCATGCCAGGTGTTTGCACCTGCTGCACATGATGCGGAAGAAGGTGGCCACTGAACCGCCTGTGTTCTGAGAGTGTCCTTGGGCGTCCTTTCAGCTCAGCTCTCTTTCCAAGCATGATCACAAGAGGAAGTCTGCAAACTCAGGAAGAATGGATCCGGCAGAGCTTCGACGCATCCACAGATGCACCAAAGTGGAGGGAGGGAAAAGGGGGGAAGTTTGGCTGAACTCTGGCGAGCCAGATGTGAACAACAGCAGATGTCTCCCCTTCCCCACAAAAGCTGTGATTGTGTTATTGCGTTCATAAAGGTTCATAACATTAATTGCAGTTGCAAGCCGATGCAGGGGCAGTGGGTTTCCCTCGGCCGTCAGCAACTCTGACAAATCCATTGCAGGAAGGGCGCTGATGCCGGATGCGAGGCAACCTGGAGTGCTGTTGCAAAGGCGCCTAGCAAATGCGTAGGTAAGGATGCACTGAAGCCTGGTGGCATCTGTCCCTCTTGCATTTGCAGACTTCCTCTTGTGCTCACCCCTCAGCTGGAAAGCAAGCTGAGCTGAGCTGAAGTCTGCAAACGCTCATGGAACGAAGGTTGCGCAACCAGACACCCTCTTTGGTGCCCATGCAGCAGCACAAACAAATTCTGCCGCATGTGGCACAGAAGAGTGAAGTGGTTCACAGTGGTTGTGCAGGACTTGATTCCTGGTGTGCAAACCCGGGGTACCCCCACCAGCAGTTCAGACTCACAGCCATGGGAGAGTGGACTGGAATCTGGAGAGCTGAGCCCAGGGAATCTGATGGATTTCTCACACATTCCTATATGCTGGCATCTGAAAGAAGACTGGAAAGAAATTCAGGGTACAGCACTCCATGAATAGTCTGGTAATCTGTCAAGAATACTGTGGATTTGTCCAGTTACTCCACTTTCTGCAGTAACTTCAGTTTATTTAGCCCCCACAAATTATATAATTGGCTTTAGGAATGTTCAGATTTTGTTCATCTCAGTTCCAGCTCAGTTCCATGGATTTCCAGGAGTCTTTTGGCCCATCATCTCCTCAACGATAGAACTTTTTTGTATGACAATTTTGTTCCTGATTCCCAAAGTGCAAACATGCACTTGTCCAAAGATCCCCCACCCACCGACAAAAAAAGTTTAAAAGCAAACAAAATTGCTCTGCAAATCTGCAGAATTGGCGTTATTTGGGGAAATTGGTTTCGCTGAGGGATTCTCATGCTGGATTCACCAGAAGCTGAAATCGAATCTGTTGAGGAGCAATCCCACATCCGTAACTGGTTTCTTGGGGGATTTGTTTGTCTTGATGCACTCTGAAATTTCAGAAATTATTTGCTCTGTCCTGTTTAGCTGTGACAGTCCCCCTCTTCATGCCACCAAATTTCGTGGAAGAGCACAGATCTTGTAAGGGTATGGCTGCACAGAAAACCCTTTTGCAGGCGTTGTGCTGAGTTCTGTCACTCCTTCTGGCATCTGTAACGTGAACGCTTGCAGCACGTTTGTGATGAAGAGGAAGAGTTCTTTTCTTGCCAGATTCTCCCCCAAACACAGACGCTGCCCTGTGGAAGGAGAGATTTTGCCATTGTGATCACTGGGCAGCTTAGATCAAGCAACCACATCGTCTTTTCCAAGAGATTTCATATACCCTGCTATTCTCTCTCCACCCAAACGCTACATAGTGAAACTGAATGAAATAGAGTTCGCTGCTTGGAGGAGAGAAATAACCTGTTTGTTTCAGATTTCATGGGCATTTCCCAAAAAGGATCTTCAAGTGCTGAGGATTCTGTTGGGGCAGGGAATCTGATGGCTGCGCTCAGCTCCCTGGACTCTGGTCTGCTTTGCTGAATCACGACTCAAGTGTGTTCTGGTTACTTTCCTGCAGATTTCCATAACTTCCACTTTACCCACTAAGTCATTCCTGCTAGTCAGTATTAAGCCCAGAAGAGCTGATCATCCAGTTCTTCTCTCCACTTTCTGTAGAAGAAAGTTATCTGCTGTGCAGATCAAGAATTTCTTGGAAGAGTCACTCTTGCAGAAAGATATCCTGCTATTTGATGTCCCCTGTTACTACCATGCCACCCTGAAATACTGTCAATATGCTTAACAGAAGATTCATTCTTGCCTTCTTGACTGGGTGGTCAGTAGCAGACTCCCACTATCGTGATGAGTTGGAAATAATGCACGGGGTGCAGAAAGTGGAGGGGGAGAGATTTTTCTCCTTCTGCCAAAACACTCAAACCCAGGTCATCCCATGCAGCTGATTGGTGGGAGGCTTAGGGCAGATCAAAGGAAGGTCTTCTCCACACAGGGCACAGTAGCCATGGAAAGTGGTGATGGCCACCAATCTGGATGGCTTTAAAAGGGGATTGGACAGATTCGTGGGGGAGGAGGCTATCAGAGGCTTGTGGCCTTGCTGGCCATGTGCTCCCCCTTTCATCAGAGGTGGCCTGCCTGCACACACCAGTTGCTAAGGAGCTTGGGCAGACGAAGGCCTTGCACCCATCCTGAGGGAGGGATCCTGTGGGTCATCCGGTTTGCCACCGTGTGGATGGAGTGCTGGACTGGATGGACCTTGGGTCTGACCCAGCTTGGTTTTTCTTATGTTCTTATGAAAAAGCCTGCTTAGTCCCTGAACAGAACAGAGAGGCTAACATTAGAGGCACAATCCTATGTAAGTTTGATGGAAAAAGGGGGACTACAAGTTCCAGGATGCTGGCTGAGGCATATGGATAGCTGCAGCCTTTTACCTGTCTGAATTCGCACAGGATTGTGCCTTGGCCTCTGGGGGGGTATAGAAAACTAGGAACAATTCCAACAATAAAAAAGTGTAGAAGACAACACTTTTGTGTTGTGTAGGACCTGGAATAATAAAATCAAATTGTGATGACCCAGGTTTAGTCTAGACATCAAGAAAAGTTTCCTCACTGTCAGAGCAATACGACAGTGGAACCAGCTGCCTGGAGAGGTCGTGGGCTCTGCCATACTAGAGGCATTCAAAAAAACGGAACAGCCTTCTAAGTGGATGGTGTGAATTGGGGACCTGCACCAACTGGCCTTCTTGTCCCCTTCCAACTCTACTACTCTATGAAAACAAACAAGTAAATGCACCTCTTGATTGTCAGCTGTGATGGAGCTTTCAGACCAACCCCCACTCTTAAATGCCTCCTTCCATTCTTCCCCAGCCCGTGCACTGTTGCTACCCTCATGTTCTCTATCACCTCTGAAATGGTGGGTATCACTTTCAAGCTTGGCATGTCCTGCACCATTGACAACCCTGCTGGTCAGACTCTGCATTGCAGAGGCTCCTTGCATGGCTCAAGATGTTGGCTGGAGATGCTGACAGTTGGTAGTCCAAGATGTCTGAAGGGCTCCAGAAGGCCCAGGGGAAGGTTGGTGGCCCCATTAGGTCATGCATCCATCTTTGAATTCAGCTTACCTACTGAAAATGGGATGAAGGCATCGTTGTTCTGGAAATTTCCATCCTTATCTAGGAAGTGGTTTGGGTTGAACTGATGGGGTGTCTCCCACTTTTTGGGGTCATACAGGGCAGAAGCAATATCCAGGATAACGATTGTTCCCTGCCAAGACAGAAACTAAGTGTTTGGCTTTCAGCTTGTCCATCTGGTAGCTGGATTTGATTTGTTCCAAAGCAATGACTATTTGCATGACCGATTTCATTACGAATTTAGAGATAGTTCATTGTTTCATATAAAGCTACCCCTGTACAAAATGCTTTATATAGCACAAGCAAATAATTCCCTGACCCATGAAATTTGCAATTTTATAATTCTGCACATGGGAGATAATAAATGAAAGAAAAATAATGAAGGCACAGGTAGACTGTGGAACATTATAAACATTAACCTATCAGGTGTACCTTTAGGCCAAGAACCTGTAAGCTTCTTCTAGGAGGAGGCCAGGACATTAAGATTTTTTAAAACTGTCAGATACCTTTTTAATGGGAAAACCTAGTATAGTTGTATCCTTCGTACAGCGTCTGAAGCTTCCAACTAGGAGAACAAAGTTGAAACGCAGGATTTCATGAATGACTGCATTAGTGTACGGCATCTTCTTCTGATCCTCATAGAAGATGCATTGAGAAGGTGTTAGAACAGCATCAATCTCCTTCTGAATGTTCTCTGAGGAAAAGTAGAAAGGAGGCGATTTTATTGTGCATGTAAAACTAATGCCTGTGCAATCTTAGAAATCACATTGTTCCCCAGCCCCCCAAAAAACATAAATAAAAAGGTAAAAGCATTTGCAATTTAGACTCAAATGAACCTATTTGTCTATCAACCTGCTTCATTTCTTGGTATGGAAGCATGTCCGTATTCTCCACCAATATTAGTCTGTGATTCTGTTGCATTGCAGTTTCTGTTCTGGCTGCCTTGCAACAGAAAAAAGGGGATTTCAGAATGGGGATAATGGATTGTGCTCATGAAAATGCAGTGATTTGAGATTTATAAATATTTAAGGTCACAATCTTATGCAAGATTAGACAGAAAAGGGGGCCTACAATTCCCAGCATGGGAGTTGTCCTTTTTTGTCTGATTGAATTGAAAAAAATCGCACCTTAAGTGTTGTTTTTGTTGCTACCCTAGAATAGAACAACAGTAAACAAACAGAAAATAATCTAATAAATGCAACAAGAATAAAAGCAGTGAACCCATGAAAAACATGGGTTTTTGGTCAAGCAACTTATAGAAAATGCCAGCAGTTCCAAGCCAGCCCATTTACTTGGAGAGGTTGTTGTTCATATTATCGTGGGAACTCTTGGGTGTGCTTCAAGAAGAAGTTGGGCTGGGGAAAGAAGTGTACATTTATGCTGAAGAAAAAATCATAATTACCACCACTAGCACTAGCACCATTCATAGAAACATAGAAACAGAGTAAGTCAGAAGGGGTCTCCCAGGCCATCTAGTCTGACTCCCAGCTCCAGCTGGCTCCGCTCACAACATGCCCACCATGTGGATGTCCAGCCTGTCCTTGAACACCCTCACCGATGGGGCCTCAACCACCTCCCGTGGAAGCCCATTCCACACCCTTGTGGAAGCCCATTCCACATTCAAAAAGAGCCATTTATTCTGAAAAGCCACAATACAAATTCACTTATTTGACCTTTGGTTTTGGGATTCAGATTCCAGAAATACAGTCATGACAACCCCCCCCCCACCCCAGTGCTGAGACTGTGTTTCCATTTGGTAAATTTTCCACCTAATCCAGAGAGAAATGGATTAGAGGATAATTTTGGAAGTATTTGGGCTGGTACTCCCATGAAGCAAGATAATGCCTTGCTAAGGCAGCAGGTGTTTCCAACCTTGTTTGGTGGGCTTTCCCAGACTGAAAGTCTCCAGAGAAGCCACTTGTCCGATTGCTTGCTATGTGATGGCCTGAAAATTCAGTGTGAACCAACTTTGGAGGGATAGAACCGAAAAGCCACATTAGAAACCCCTTTCATCGATATGTGTCTTCACATTTCACATTTTAAAAACTTAACTAGGCTGGACAGTCAAACCCTTCTCTTTTGGGGCACCTGGCTGTTGTGGGAATCCTATCCAAGTTGAAATCTTTCCAGAGTGTTGCCAAGTCCATCACTTACCTTGGACATCTGGATAGACCACCATAAACAGCAGTGCCCATTGCAAGGTGGAGACCACAGTGTCTGTGCCTGCGGTGAAGAGGTCGTAAATAACCTGGACCAAGTTGTCTTCATCTAAGCTAGTTGCAGGATCACCTTTTTTCTGTTGTTGGCCATTAGAGGAGAAAAGGGAGCACATCAAAATCACCACTATCTTCTCTGCTGTTCATGAAGACCATGCAGAAAAGCATGCTGTTCTCATGGCAAATAGCACAACTTAGGATCACAGAATCAGAGTTGGAAGGGGCCAGAAAGCCACAGGGTCCAACTTCTGAAAGCTGCATTGCTTTACAAACCAAATTCTTTTTTAAAATAAGTTTTATTCTTAATAGACCTAACAAAAAAGGAACTAAAAAGTCATAAATCATCAAAAACATCAGGCCTACTGGGTCAGCCCAGTTTCTTTTTATGTTAAACAATAAACATATTTAAATCTATGCCTAGTCCCATTTCTCTAGCCAATAATAAAAAGAGTCCCGGTTTGATAGAAGTCAGTATCTTCTTTCTCCTTCAGAGACAAAGTCAATCTGTCCATTTCAGCACAGTCCAGAATCTTTTTTAGAATCAGTTCATCTGTAGGTGGCTCTGCACTCTTCCCATGTTGGGCAAATGCAACCTTCGCAGCTTTACAAACAAAATTCTATGAAGAGGAGGCAATTTAGGCTGCAAACCTTCTGGTATATCCCAGGGTTCAAGTGCCATTGAACGCATAGCGTAGCCATGCTTTTCTCCATACAGTCTCTGTTTCTCGAGATGCACGATCTTGAGATGCATGTCTCTGATCCTGCACAATCATGTATTGTTTATTTGCTTATTTATTTCCTTTCTATACTGCCCCATAGCCAAAGCTGTCTGGGTAGGGAAGGCTACTGCAAGCTGGTACCCTCCAGATGCTGGCCGAGAATTGTGGGAGTTGTAGTCCAGCGCATCTGGAGAACCCCAAGTTGGAGAAGGCAGTGCATCATTTCCATGGGATTCTTTTTGGCCCAATTCAGAGAGCATGAGGAAGGAGTCATGATGCTTAACTGCCTGATGTAGCATTTACTTTGACAGAACCTTCAAAGAAGAAACCCCCCCCCCAAAAAAATCACTGGGCCCTTTTGTAGGACCATACACTAATGAGCACCCCCTTAATCAAAACTCGTTCTGCCTCATCCAAGTAACACTGCCCTCCCCATATTCACATTTGCCTATCCCCTCCAAAAGTGCCCATTCGGTTTTATTCATAATCATATACATTCTGAGTTTGTAGTTTTGCTTCATTACCCATGAGGGACTCCCTTCAGTCTCCTAGTAAAGTCTGTTTACTTGGTATTTGAAGCCAGAATTGCTCTTGGAATCATGGCAATTTTCCCTCTTGAAGTATCTGAACTGGTCTGAAATGGGGTGCTGAGGTGGGACTAGAGCTTGGTGAACGTGTTGTGGTGAAGTTCCCTGGAGCCCATCCCTCCAGGGAACTTCACCTGGAGGGAGTATGTGGAGCTCCTCTTGAGTTCAGACCAAGCTGACCAAGTAGAAGTCCACGAATGTTTGCAGAAGTCCACGTGTGCAACTGGCAAGCTTCTTGCGCTTCATGTGAGGCTCAAGCAACAGCAGCAAATTGCGTGTGTGAAAGAGGGATGCTGCCTGTGCAGCAGGTCCAAAGGCGCACGATTCCTGGCGAGTGCACAGCAATCACATGGCAAGCTCACCAGGACATCAGAGCCATGGCTGTGGAAAAGCGGGCAGGAGTCTAGGAAGCTGAGTCCAAGGAGTCTGATGGATTCCCACCCCCCAAAGAGACCACTCACACATCCCTGTTTAGTGGTACATCGTTCTTGGTCAGAGTCTTGATCCATCTTGCCAGTACTTCTGACATTCAACTGACCATCCAGGAATAGAACCTGGGACCTTTTGCCTGCGAAGTGTGAACTATTCCATTGAGCTACACGTCCGGTAAATTTCAGGCAGTGCTTATTCTGATTCTCTGGCATCTGCCTTTTTTTAGAAGAAGAAAACTCATACCTGTGAAGTATCAGCATGCAGAAAGTATAATTCTAGATTTATTGATTGTTTGCGTAGCATTTTTAGTTCCTTCCCTCCTTGTGCCACAACTATGGCCTTTCTGATTGTAATAAAGTGATAGAGATATCTATCAAAGAAAGTTGATTGATAATGGCCATGAAGCTGTTCCCCCAAATATACCCTGCCACGCTATTGCTTACTCTGTCAATTTCGCTCAGGTAGTAGTCAATGAAATCCGGGAGGTCATCCAGTTTCTTCTTTTCCTTGTGATTTCTGATCTCCTTCCTCCCAAATGAATGTATAAACTCCAGACAAGAAATTGCCTTCTGGTGAGGTCCGGGGAGGCGACGCATGAGCCATGGAAAAAGTTCATACAACTGTAGGAGAAAAAGGGAAGCAGTTGGGCAGTAGATGCTATCACTTTCCACACATGGAGGAATTTGCCTTTGCACAGCTGTTGCAGACACAAACGTGGTGCTTCCCCAACCCCAAATATAGAAAAACAGACAAAGTTGGTGGAACTTGTGAATAATGCACAATGGATATTTTTTTCTAACCCTAATCCTATAACGCCAGTCCTCTATAAATTGCTTTGGATGACCATTGAAGTCTGGGCTCGCTCCAAGATGTTTGTCTTAATGTATAAAGCCCTAAACAGTTTAGAACCTGAATATCTGAAAGAATGTCTCAATCTTTATGTTGTTGTTAGTCGCGAAGTTGTGTCCGATCCATCACAACCCCATGGACAACATTCCTCCAGGCCTTCCTGTCCTCCACCATCCCCGGAGTCCACTCAAGCTCACACCAACTGCTTCAGTGACTCCATCTAGCCACCTCATCCTCTGCCGTCCCCTTCTTCTTTTGCCATCTATTGTTCCCAGCATTAGACTCTTCTCCAGGGAGTCCTTCCTTCTCATTAGGTGGCCAAAGTACTGGAGTTTCATCTTCAGCATCTGGCCTTCTAAAGAGCACTCAGGGTTGATCTCCTCTAGGACTGACTGGTTTGATCACCTTGTGGTCCAGGGGACTTGCAGGAGTCTCCTCCAGCACCACAATTCAAAGGCCTCAATCCTTTGGCACTCAACATTCCTTATGGTCCAACTTTCACAGCCATACATTGCAACTGGGAAAACCATAGCCTTGACAATTCGCACTTTTGTTGGCAGGGTGATGTCTCTGCTTTTTAGTATGCTGTCTAGATTTGCCATAGCTTCTCTCCCCAGGAGCAAACGCCTTTTAATTTCTTGGCTGCAGTCCCTGTCTGCGGTGATCTTGGAGCCCAGAAAAATAAAATCTGTCACTACCTCCATTTCTTCCCCATCTATTTGCCAGGAAGTGAAAGGACTGGATGCCATGATCTTAGTTTTCTTAATGTTGAGTTTCAAGCCAACTTTTGCGCTCTCCTCCTTCACCCACATCAAGAGGCTCTTTAGTTCCTCTTCACTTTCTGCCATGGGAGTGGTATCATCTGCATATCTGAGGTTGTTGATATTTCTCCCAGCAATCTGAATTCCAACTGGTGATTCATCCAGCCCCGCCTTTCTCATGATGTGCTCTGCATATAAGTTAAATAGGCAGGGCGACAGTATACAGCCTTGCCAAACTCCTTTCTCAATTTTGAACTAATCAGTGGTTCCGTGTCCAGTTCTCACTGTTGCTTCTTGACCTGCATACAGGTTTCTCAAGAGACAAATAAGATGGTCTGGTACTCCCATCCCTTTATGCACTTGCCACAATTTGTTGTGATCCACACAATCAAAGGCTTTAGCATAGTCAATGAAGCAGAAGTAGATGTTTTTCTGGAACTTGCTAGCTTTCTCCATGATCCAGCATATGTTGGCAATTTGATCTCTAGTTCCTCTCCCTCTTCGAACTCCTGCCTGTACTTCTGGTAGTTCTCGGTCCACGTACTGCTGGAGCCTAGCTTGTAGGATTTTGAGCATAACTTTGCTAGCATGTGAAATGAGTGCAATGGTGCAGTAGTTTGAACATTCTTTGGCATTGCCCTTCTTTGGGATCGGAATGTAAACTGAACTTTTCCAATCCTGTGGCCACTGCTGAGTTTTCCAAATTTGCTGGCATATTGAGTGTAGCACTTTTACTGCATTGTCTTTAAGGATTTTGAATAGCTCGGCTGGAATACCGTCGCCTCCACTAGCTTTGTCATTGCTCAGACTTCCTAAGGCCCATTTGACTTCTCATTCCAGGATGTCTGGCTTGAGGTCAGTGACCACCCCATCGTAGTTCTCAGGGACGTTAAGCTCTTTCTTGTATAGTTCTTCTGTGGAATCTTGCCACCTCTTCTTAATCTCTTCTGCCTCTGTTATGTCCCTGCCATTTTGGTCCTTTATCATGCCCATCTTTGCATGAAATGTTCCCTTCATATCTCCAATTTTCTTGAAGAGATCTCTGGTCCTCCCTATTCTATTGTTTTCTTCTATTTCTTTGCACTGTTCATTTAAGAAGGCATTCTTATCTCTTCTAGCTATTCTCTGGAATTCTGCATTCAATTGACCCTGCATGGCATAGCTCATAGCTTCACTGAGCTACACAAGCCCCTTCGCCACGACAAGGCAGTGATCCATGAAGGAGTCAATCTTTATAAGCCTACCCTAAGATCATCTTTGGAAGTCCTGCTCTGGGAGCAGGGCTGTCTTAACAGCATTATGGACCCCGGGCAAAGCAGTGTACTGGGGCCCCTATGACAACTACAACTACTGTTAATTTTGGAAGTTTTCCAATTTTCCAAGGGTTAACATACACAGATTAGTATGGGGCCCACAGGAAGTGCCCATCAGGTCCATGCATTAAGACGGCCCTGTCTGGAAGCTGTCTTTAAGGGAAGTTAAGAGAGTGGCTACCTGTGGGTAGGGCCTTCTCAGTTGTGGCACCTCATTTATGGAACTGATCTTCCAGAGATGTGCACCAAGTGCCTTCTTTGTATATATTTTGGGGCCAAGTTAAGACATTTTTATTTGTAGAGCATTTTAATCATTGACTATTTCTGGTTTAAATTTTAATTCTGACCTGCATTTTAATTAGAAAATTTGGTATTTTAATTGGGATCTTTTAGGATTTATCTAATCTGTGATGTTAATGAATGTTGTTACCTGATTGGTGCTCCTGCTGTGATGGGGATGTTTTATTGGTATAGATGTTTTACTTGATTGATTTATGTAGTTTTTATGCTTTGTTATGGCTTTATTATGTAAACCGTCCAAACAGCCAAAAGGCTATTGTGACAGGAGACAAAAGCGTCAAATAAATAAATAAATAAATAAATAAATAATATATGGGCAAAAATGTTTACACATTAAGCTTGGCCTGTGCATGCCTGTGACTAGTTGGGTGGAAATGAGTTTGAATGGGCAATTCCAACCCACGTTGAGCTTCTGTTTTAAGGTTGTGCACAGGTTGTACAAAGCCTGTGCATGGCATGGAAGAGGGATGCTTTGGCTGGTCTCACAGGCTCCAGTCCAGGGATGCATGCCATGAGCAGAGCCGGCTAGAGCTGGGAGTCAGACTAGATGCCCTGGGAGGCCCCTTCTGACTCGCTCTGTTTCTATGTTTCTATGATGCTGCTTGCGCAGTGCATGGCTTGATTCCTGGTAAGCACCTTGCTGGCGAGCTGGGCATGCTCACCAGGATCTTGGACTCAGGGATGCTGCAAAGCAGACACGAGTCCAGGGAGCTGACCCCAGGGAATCTAACAGATGCTCACCCCAAATGGATTCCTTGCCCATTCCTACTTTATGCATCCAGCTTCTGGACAGGAAATAACCTGAGTTGAAGATACTTGACTGTCCTCATCAGTGGGACACCAATAGCTCTGCCATATCACAGCAAGTTTTTGCTGTGTCTACTAGAAACATAGAAACACAGAAGCATAGAAAAACAGAAACACAGAAACAGAGAAAGTCAGAAGGGGTCTCCCCGACCATCTAGTCTGACCCCCGGCTCTAGCTGGCTCCGTTCATGACATGCCTACTAAATATGAATATGGATTGCTGAGTTGTCTGGTGTTATGTTGCCAAGTTGGGCAAGTGTTCATGCTCTTAATAGTCCTCTGGATATTCTTAAGCTAGGAAGTGAAGAGAGCTGACAGGAAGAGAACGGATGCCTTTGAAACGTGGTACTGAAGGAGAGCCTGGACTGACAGAAAGGCAAACAAGCAGGACCTGGATCAAATCAGGCCAGAACCATCCCTAGAAGCAAAACAGACAAAACTGAAGCTGTCATGAGAAGGCAAGAATTCCTGGAGCTACGGAAAGTCAAGAATGGAAGTTCAAGAAGAAGCCCAACTATGTGATGGATGGACTCCATCAAGACAGTCACAACCTTGAGTTGAGGATTGTTTAGCAGGTTGTCAAGGACAAGACATTCTGAAGGACACTCATTCATAAGGCCACCAGAGATGACAAGAAGAAGAACATATTCTTAAGTGCCTCCAAGTCAGTCTCTAAGCTTAAACCCTACAATATGGTACATAGATCTTTAACCTCCTTTTGCAATGCTTTTACTTGCTGGCCCTTAGAGTGCTCATCAATTTTTTATTTCCTCATTGTAGGAAGATGAATGATAAAACCTGAGAAGCGTAGAATGGAATCGGGGAGCTCGCAAGGGTTCTCTGCCACAGGGCAAAAGGAACATGCAGTTGGTTCAGGCACACAGCTTTGCTAGTCTGAGTTCTCCACCCGCACCCTTCCTTACAGGTTGGCACTTGCAAGGACGAGGGAAACCCCCCTCCCCAGTGCAATGTTCTCACACTTTATTGTGTCACTCAGGGATTTGGAATGCTAATTTATTGTGGATGTGTATCTCAACCATGCTTAATTTCAGCCTCTGATAACCTAACTTGTTCCAAGTGAAGGTGGGACAAAATGGGAGGGACCTGACACCAAGTTATCTTCAGTTGTACCTGCAAAAGTAGGTCTGGAGCACAAATACACACCATAATGACTCTTATTGTGGGTGCTGGATTGCAGGGGTGGGGTGCTTTCAGAATTTCAGCACTCAACTAGTTTTGCTCCCACGCTTCTTCACACAGGCCACAAATCATAAACATCATTTCAATGAAGTAAGGAACTTAACTAGGGTAATTTCCTAGCAAACTTGGGGGTGAGAAAGGAATTCATTTAGTTTCTCAGCAATCTCCTTATCTTTTAATAGGCGAGTTACTCCTCTGCCATCCGATGGGCTAGATGCCTGCCTACCCTATGTCTGCTTTCGATGTATTCAAATGAGATGTTAAAAAATGGTTAAGCCTTGATGTTGCTAGCAATATGCTCCTTAAAATCCTTTTGTCTGCCCCTTGTTGCCTGTTTACATTTCTTTTGTGATGGAAACACAGAAACAGAGCGAGTCAGAAGGGTCCCCTTGGGCCATCTAGTCTGACCTCCAGCTCCAGCCAGCTCCGCTCATGACAAGGAGGACGCTACTGAGTGGTAGAACGCCATGTGCTTTTCAAAGAGACGTTCCCAGGTGTGGGGAGCAGGCCACGTTCTCACTCTTTGCTGACTTTTCAGGGAGACACATCATTGGATACTGAAGAGGAGGAGGAAGAGGTGATAGGGGTCAGAAGCCTTTGAAGCTTCACCAATTCCTGGTCATTTCCTGCAGCATTCCAGGTCAACCTTGGGAGGGGGCCTGCTTTGGGAGAGAGGGATGGGCTTCAGGAGGGGAAAGGAAGCAGGCACAGGACCCTGTCCTCGATTCAGAAAGGAGGCACCAGTAGAGATGAGCTGCCCAATCGGAGGGCCTCTGCAGACCAGGCCACCTGGCTCTCCACCAGCAAGAACCAACCTGAGGGTGGGGTCAGCAGCACCACTGAAAGAGAGGGACTAAGGAGAAGAGTCCAGTTTGGATTCAGCTCTCTTTACATGAGCAGAGGCTTATCCTTCCAGCTCGATGGAAGGCTATTTAAAGATCTGCATTGTCAGGGATTGTCCTGCAGTTTGGAGCCTAGGGGGAGGAAGGGAAGGAGCCGGCTCTTTGGGGAGCCATTGAATGGGACTGAATTCAGACGAAACTGAACCAGCTGGGCCTGCTGTTCAAGGAAGCTTCCTGCAATCTCACAGCAAAACCCTGCAATTGATGTATTTCCCCTGGAGGCTTGAAGCACAGAACAGTTATTAAAATAGTGGTGAGAATCAGTGTATGCAATCACACACAAGCACTTCCTGTTTTTTGGCAGCAGGAGGGAGTGTTTGAAGAGATACAGGGTGGTGATACTGCGTAGAATGGCTCTCCCGACTTCTACCTACCCCAGCACTACAACCTACACTTGAAGGCTTCTTCATCTGCCCCCACCCAGGAAGGCCTGGAAGGAGGCAGCAAGGAGGTCTTTTCAGTGGTGGCCCCCTAATTCTGGAAAGATGGAATGATCTCCCCACTAAGGCCCACCTGGCACCAACAGTCGTATGTTTTTGGTGCCAGCTTAAGACTATCCTATAAGCCTGGATATTTAACGGCTTATGATGGGATATGTCACCTGTTTAATAGATCTAATTTTTACTGAAGTGGTTTGAGTGGCTTAAACTGTTATGTGTTGGAATTTTATGATGTATATAATTTTTATGCTATACAAATTTTATTATCTTTTTATCGTCATCCACTTTCATTATTGTCCTCATGTTTATGAATGGCTGCAAACCTCCTGGAGAGTTTTGGCTGCTGGGTGGTATAGAAATAAAATTAAGAATAGTAACAATACAATCAATAATCATGCCAAAGAATGAGTCATCTAAAAATGGTGAATTATTGGGGTTGGAAGGAAATCCACAGAGAATTCTTAAAGAAATGGAAAGGGAACACTTATATTTGGTTGAGGATATGTCACATAACTGAAGGTAAAATCCAGTGCATTCCTAGATGGAAAAAACATTCTCCCAGCATCCCGTCAAATAGAAATTCCAGCTGAGCATGCTGGGAATTGTAGGACTGTATTTCTGTTTAAACTTGCATGGGATTGTACTTGAAATCTACTTTTCAGTATGGAGGAATGTGATGTTGATTGGAAGGTTGGAGTATCTTCCTTACCATTGAAAAAGTTAAAGCCTGTGCAAGAGAAAAATAGCAGGGGAAGGAGATGCAGAAGAGCATTACTTAAATGTTGAACGGTGTGGAAACGATAGGAGCAGAGTTACAGAGTTACTTTCAGCCTAAAGTCAGCAGGTGAAGTTGTTTTGCAGCAGAATCATGTGAAAAACAGCACAAAGATACTTTAGAACACAGCATGGATTTTTCTAACATTATTAAGCCAAAGCAAAATAACTTACAAAATGGCATTTAGAGAGGAAAAAATGTGCTTCGTACTCGATGCATTCGACCAGTTTGCAGAATGTTTCATCTTGAATGGAGAAACGGTGTCCGAAAACCACACTGGAGATCACGTTAGAGACAGCATGGAACAAGGGGAGAGCTGGGTCCAAAGGCTTCCCTTGGAAACACACAAATTGGCCACCACAATTAACTCACCAAGTACTGCCGCATTCTGAGAAAAGAGCTAGGAGAGCAGGAGAGCTTGTCCGGGTAATCACCCTCTCCCATTTTAAGGCACTCTAATGTTGCAAGTTCCTTTAACCCCACAGCTCCTCTAGAACAGGGAGTAGCAACCTTTTTGGTCCCTTGGAAACAGCTGAATTTTGGGGTGAGCCCAATGGAACAGTGACTCACGGTCCTTCAGGCCTTTGGACATTTATTTGCAAGATTCTTTCTTTACTTGCTCTATTTCTTGGGTTCTCTCTTTTCTTGCTCTCCTGCTCCTGCTCCTCCTCCAGAACTCTTCTCCCACAACTGCTTTGACCTCCTTCTCCCTCCTCCCCTCCCTCCCTCCACTACTTTTCTTCCTATTCCTGCAACAGTTTCATCGGCCCTACCACTAGATTCCCCCCCCTCCTCCTCTTCCTCCTCTTCCTCCCATCCCCTTTGCCTTTTCATCTCCACCTACTGACATCTTTTCTATGGTTCATTTGATACACTGCAAATAAATAAACACATCATTGTGGGACACTGTATTATGGAGGGTCTTTTGTTGTGCAACAGTCCAGTTTGTGTACAATTCCATGGAAGAGTGACACAAAAATTGGAGCGCCACGTCTAGTTTTCTAAGACAGCAGGTCAGCCAATGTGCTTCTGCCTGGAGATCTTGTTCAAACACAGGAAAAGGGACACTGTCCTAGTCGAAGTCCTGTGTCTGCTGACTAGCAGTGCTTCTTCACAGTTTCCAGCCAGAGACTTTCCCCCAGTTTTTCTCTAGCATTGTGTATGTGCTCCCTCCTTGACCAGGGCTGGCCTGCCTGCACACCCCAGTTGCTGGGGAGCTTGGGCAGGGGGAGGCCTTGCACCCCTCCTGCGGGAGGGATCCCCGGGCAGCTGGTTTGCCACCGTGTGGATGGAGTGCTGGACTGGATGGACCTTTTGGTCTGGCCCAGCGTGATTCTGCTTGTATTCGTACATTCTTAGCATCTCCTGGGGTTGAACATGGGAGCACTTGCTTGAGGAGCACGTGGTGGCCCTGAGATACACTCACTCCCAAGGCCAATTCTATCAAGTCTGGAGGGGGAGACAATGTGGTCACATCTTTGGGAAGATGGAGGGTAGAGATATGACAGCAATCCATCTGGGGCTGGGAATCTGTCGGATTCCCTGGGCTCATCTCCCCGGACTCTGGTCCGCTTTGTGGAGGCCCAGAGTCCGAGTTTCTGGCAAGATTGCTCAGCATTCACAGGATGTTGCCAGGAAATGATCCCACCTGTTACATAAGTGGCAGCCACTCAAACAGCAGGTGCGTAATGGGCCACAGGTTGGTCATGGGGGCGCTTGGTTGTGCAGAGTCCACCAGGAAAGCAGTGGCTGCTATAGGTTGGATGGGCTATTGATGACCACTTGCTGTAGGATGAATGGGCTACTTTCTGGGCTGGCACTGCAGCCCTGAGTGTCCGCTAGGAAATTAGCTCCCAAGCAGCATCCACTGGGTCCAGGCTGCCTTTTTGGGCTGCTGCTGCCTCAGAAGGAAGTTGCCCATTGCTCAACCAGGCTCAGCAATTGCTTGCAGAGCTCCTCTCAGCTCAGCTCTCTTCGGAAGAGCAGGCCGAGCACAAGAGCGCAAGAGCGAGCCCGTGAAGGCTTGGGGGGTGGATTCCACCAGGCTCCATCCCACCCCGAGTGGTGGGATGGGGCACAGGAGTGAAAGCAAGTGAGCTGCCTCCAGGGCTGGCGTGCATTTCCCCTCTTACGAAGACATGTGGAAGCCCCTGGAAGGGAAGAGGTTTGGATGGTGGATTGTGCCCCTGCCTCCCGCACCTCATTCAGTTGCCTTTGCTGTTGTCAGAACACAGGTGACATTCAAAGGTGGAGGGGGGTTTTGCATCCACAACTGGAATGGAATGGATCTTCTCCCTGCCCCTTCTCCCTCCATCTGTGCCCTCCAGGGAACTGTAGAATTTTAGCATCAAAACCCACATTCTTCCTGACCTTTCTCACTTGCAAGCAAGGCCACCAGATTGCTGGCTTCCTCTTGGACACGGTGCTCCATGTTACTTCTTCCAAAACCAAGCAACCGCAAAGTTGCCACTCCAAATTTCCTCTGTTCTTTCCAGATGTGGCCACCTGAAAACAGAATACCTGTGGGAGGTAAAATATTATTGTTAAGCATGTGTTGGGAAAATTCAAATAAATCTTATAGAGCAAAGTTCCTTATGTGTGCCTTTTTGATATAAAATTAAACAGTGGTGTCTCTGCTCCTCTTGCCCAGAAAGAACTAGAACTTTTGGCCAAGCTCCACGCACCTGGTAAAAGCAGCCAGTCCCGGGGGCTCCATTATGTATGCATTTCCTTGCAGAATCAGACAAGCCACTGGGGAAGCTGCACTTGCTTTCCAATGTAAAAATACTTCATCTTAAGTAATTCTGCGTCTCAGATTGCAAAAACCACAACATTTTAAACCTGCCAGATTTCTGTAACTCCTGATTGTTTTATTTGTTATCTGTTACCTAAGTCTTTGATGGGTTATGATGCTTTTCCTGATGCTAATAATGATTTCTCCATACTTCTGTGTTATTCCCCATTGTCCTCAGCTTCTCACCCATTCAGAGTTCCATCACTGCCTTGAAACTGTGTACGTGACTCACAAGTGATAAAAAACTCTGACTGTGTCCTGGAAGCTTGTGAAGGAATTGACAAGGAACTGAGGGAATCCACTGGTACTGCCCCCTCCCCCTGCAAGCAGATTCCTCACACATCCCTAACTGGAATTTGGTCTTGTAGGCTAGTATGGCCCGAGGCTCACACAGTTGGTCAAACTTCCCCTGGCTCGATTTAGAATGGAACCAGAAATTATGAGTGGTGGTGGAGAACAATATGAAAGAAGATCTCCACCACCATCCAGAATCCTCTAGATCTCCTTACCAGCCGTATCTAGCATCAACCGAAGAAGCTAGATACCCTTATCTCCCCTCCCACTTTCAGGAGTAGAAGATGTTCAGGCAATGAATATTTTCTGGTGGAAAAGTCAACCATGTGTGTGCGCAATTAGTATGAAGACTTGAGATGTAGTAAATCAAACCTGTCTGAGATTACTCAAGAGCTTGACTGTGTCTAACTCATCTTTGGTTTGTGCCTGCAATAAATCAACATCAATGCAAACAGATGAAATGTGCCTCTTAATTGGTGCATCTGTGATTGCTGTGGTTTGCATTCTGTAGGAATGGGATAGGTTTCTGTTCCCCAGTGTGTAACCAAGGATCTTGCTCTCTCTCCTGCAACTGTTGGTGCAAATGCTTTATTGAAATGGCTTACTTGGATGAACCCAAATGCAGAGTGAAGCTCCCCTTCCTTAACACCTTCTTCCCCTCCCATGGTGGCTCTGGTAGCCATGGGTAGGAGTTTCCCTTGCTCGTACACATGCAGTACTGGTGCCTTCATTTACACATGCTGGGGACCCTGGGAAATGTGATGTTCCCAGGGTGTCTAATATCCAAAGAATCAAGGAGTTCTGGGAATGTGATACTTTCCCATGGCTCCCTGCTCCTGAAATGACACTGTCGCAGTGTTGCATATACTTGGGTGCAAGAGAGACTTGGCAGTAGCATGGCAAGAATGGTCTTCAGCTCGGACTAAAATCTAAATTGAACTGAAGTTGCTGTGGTTGTCTTCATGCTGAAGGAAGTACTCAGTACTATTGAGGTTCAGAATGAATTATGAACTATAGTACCATCACTCTACACAGAAACACTTTGGTGTCCAATTAGGTCTTCGTGAATCCTAGTGATGAAGAAAGAGAGTTGTTGGAAAACATGTGTTTGGGTCTATGCATGGGAAGAAGAGAGAAATAAGACTTACCCTTCTCATGCATCATGTCTCTGACAAAAGGGCTCACTACTCTCCATGAGACTTCTTCGGCATGGTTGACAAGCACATGTTTCACCGGGTGGAACCCATTCACTACAACCATTGGCAAGTGTCCGATCCAGATGGTGAATATTTCCCCATAAATCTTTGACAACTGCATTGTGATTGAAAAAAGAGCATAATTGTGGGTACAGCATGTCCGCGTCACCCTCGTTATGCAGAGATGTTACCAACTCATTTAGTTCTTCCATCGTCTATTACTTTCATCATTGAATCATTCCGAACTCCCAGTTTGAGCTCTCATTGCTTGCCAACTGCCTTTGCTGTCTAGGAATGCCTCCCGTGAACCTCAGGACTGCTCATCGGCCTGGCAACTATTCCCAGATACCAAGAAATCCTGAAATGGCTTTGTCCCAAATTATTAAAGAGCTCCTCCACCCGCTTGGGACACTCACCTTCTAAATTAAGAATATTTGGAGGGGCCCTGGCCAGATCTTTCCCCTAGTGAGATCAAGTTAATTTAATTTAATTTTTAATTTAATTTAATAATTTAATTTAACAATGTAATTTAATTTAATTTTTACTTATTTATTTTTGAATTTGTATGCCACTCAGTAATCCAGATGGATTCTCTAGATCGCCTACAATTTTTTGAATATGTTTGAAAAATCACTACCTTCTCCAATTAGGATGAAAAGAACCATTACTTTTTGTATGATTCTGTTTATCTAGTGTAAACAGCTGGGGCTGAGCCATATTTGATGGAAAAACAAAGCAAGACATTCCTTTTAGTAGCATGAGATTGTGGAACTCTTTGTTTAAGAAACTGAGAGCCAGTGTGGTGTCGTGGTTAAGAGCATGGGACTGGGACTCAGGTGATCTGGGTTCTAGTCCCCGTTCAGCCATGGAGCCAACTGGGTGAATTTGGGCCAGTCACAGACTCTCAGTCCAACCTACCTCACAGGGTTGTTGTTGTGGGGATGAGATGGAGGAGGAGATGTAAGCTGCCTTGAGCCCTTTGTAGGAAAAGGCAGGATATAAATTGGAAAAATAAATAAATAAATAAATAAATAAAATTGTCTTTCCCTCCAGGGACTGGGGATGGTAGGGTGAAGTTCCAGAGGACGGGAGGGTGGCATCAGTGGTCCCAATTTTCAAAAAGGGTAGTAGAAGGGACATGGGGAATTATAGAACTGTTAGCCTTATGTCCATTGTAGGAAAAACAATGGAAAGGCTCATAATAGAGAGAGATCTAGTGATGCTAGATAGGGAAGGGAGGCTGACAGCCACACAACATGGCTTCTGCAAAAACAGGTCCTGCCAGACAAACCTTGTGGAATTCTATGACAAGGTTTCGAGATAGCTAGATAGAGGGGATGCAGTGGATGTGGTATACCTGGGTTTCAGCAAGGCCTTTGACAAAGTGCCTCATGATATCCTGGTGGAGAAACTGAGGAGCTTTGGGATACACCAAAGCACTGTCCAGTGGATTAGGGCATGGTTGACTGACCGAAAGCAGAGGGTAACCATTAGTGGGGAATCATCGGGATGGCAGCCAGTGACAAGCAGGTTCCCCCAGGGCTCTCTCCTGGGGACAATCCTCTTTAATCTTTTCATTAATGACATGGAAAAAGGGGTGAACAGTCTGCTGATTAAATTCGCAGACGACACTATAACTGGCGCAGTGGCCACAACTGAGGAGCAGGTACTCCAGATCCAAAAGGATCTGGACAGACTACAGAAGTGGGCAGCAGACAACAGGATGGTGTTCAATGTGGATAAGTGCAAGGTCTTGCACTTGGGTCATAGGAATAGGTGTCCTAAGGACAGGTTAGGTGACAAGTGGCTGGAGAACAGCACTTGTGAAAGGGACCTCGGGGTGCTGGTTGGCTGCAGGCTAAACATGAGTCAGCCGTGTGATGCGGTGGCCAAGAGGGCGAACGCCACCCTTGGTTGCATAGCCAGAAGTGTGGCTTCTAGATCAAGAGAGGTATTACTACCACTGTATACTACTCTGGTGCGCCCGCAACTGGAGTATTGTGCTCAGTTTTGGGCTCCTCATTACAGGAAGGATATAGTCAGGTTAGAGTCAGTGCAGCGTAGGGCCACAAGGTTGGTGGCTGGTTTACAGGGGGAGCTGGGTCTCTTCAGCCTGGAGAAGAGGAGACTCAGAGGGGATCTGTTGGTGACATACAGGTATGTGAGGGGATGTCACATGGAGGTGGGTAGAGACCTGTCCTCCCCTGCAGAGGAAGGCAGGACGGACTCCAGTGGAGCAAAGCTCAGGGAACCCAGGTTCCATTTGGATGCCAGGAAGCACTTCCTGACAGTCAGGACCCCGAGGGTGTGGAATGGGCTTCCACGGGGGGTCGTTGAGGCCCCATCGGTACGGGTGTTCAAGGATAGGCTGGACGTGCACATGGTGGGCATGTCATGAGTGGAGCCGGCTGGTGCCAGAGGTCAGACTAGATGGCCTGGGAGGCCCCTTCTGACTCACTCTGTTTCTATGTTTCTATGATTCCAATATGTATCATTTTGATGGAATTCCATAGCATTTCCAGTATAGCAAGTGGCAGTGGACTGCACTGGAGTTTGTTTATTTCTTTGGAGTCCACAAGAAATTTGCCCTTCTTTAAAGAAAATATTGTCTGGAAATCTGTGCAAATTTTAACTAGAACAAATAGATTTTTTAAAGAGGTCTTTTGTATGTGCACGTGAAACGGTCCAATTTGAAAGGTGCTGCTTAATGGATGTCCAAGAAGTCAAGGTACACGAAAAATTGCTACAAGGAGGTGAAGCAGTTGCTTTGCTTTCCTTGATAGCTGTCAAAAGGAGAACTGCTGAGTATCTTTGCTTGTGAAAGGGGTTGGCCAGGGTGCCCTTAGTGATGCAATCCTCTATTTTTATGTAGGGACCTGCCAGTTATTATATGGGATTTTTGACAGGGCTAAGCAGGGTTTATCCATAAGGTTACTGACATATCCATACATTTCAATATCATTAAAAATATGTACATGGCTGTCATTAAAAATAGAAATCAATGGGCAGGCTTGATATGGTACAAATCAAACCAGTACTTGCAAGGACTGGAACAAAGAACCAACCTGGAGCCAAACCATCAGATTTTCATATCCTTACCCAACAGAATTCTCACATATCCCTACTTCCACTTCCTGGTGGGCTGGAGCATTGCCTTTCCCTTCTCTGGGGTCTGAGAAGACGCTCCAGTGGCCACTTGGCCAACTTGGTGGCCTCATGCAGTGCAATCTCATTTCTGACTACTCAGAAGTAAGTGCACTGCATTCAGTGGATCCTGGTGCCAGTGAGGATTGCAGGCAGTGGTTGTTAAAGCACGGAGTAGCAAGGTGCATATTAAAGGGCATGAGATGCAGTACATCTCAGCATGTTAGATCCTGCCTGGATCCTGGAGGTCATCAACGCCTCTCTGAGGGACGGCCGGGTGCCTGCCCCTCTAAAGGAGGCAGTGGTCAGACTGGTCAAAAGAAGGCGTTCTTGGATCCAGAGATGGCTGCCAATTATAGACTGGTGGCCAACATCCCGTTCTTGGGCAAGGCGTTGGAATGGGTGGTGGCGGGACAACTCCAAGCTCTCTTGGATGAAACTGATTATCTGGACCCATTTCAGTCTGGCTTCAGACCTGGGTATGGTACTGAATCTACCTTGGTCTCCCTGTATGATGACCTGTGCAGGGAGAGAGACAGCGGGAGTGCATCCCTGTTGGTCCTCCTGGACCTTTCAGTGACTTTTGATACCATCGACCATGGTATCCTTCTGGATAGGCTAACGGGACTGGGAGTAGGAGGCACTGCTTGGCAGTGGTTCCGCTCCTACCTTGACAGCCAATTCCAGAAGGTGGTGCCGGGGGACTTTGGCTCTGTGCCATGGCAGCTATGCCATGGAGTACCGCAGGGGTCCATTTTGTCCCCCTTGCTATTTAACATCTACATGAAAACGCTGGGAGAGGTCATCATGAGGTGTGGGCTGCGGAATCACCAGTACGCTGATGATACCCAGCTCTACTTCTATTTTTCAACCAATCCAGGTGAGGCAGTGGCTGTGCTGAACTGGTGCCTGGCTGAGGTAATGGGCTGGATGAGGGCCAATAAACTGAAGTTCAATCCAGACAAGATGGAGGTCCTGTTGGTGGGTGGTTCGAGCTCCTGGGTAGGTGGCCTGGACCCTGCCCTGGATGGGTTGCACTCCCTCTTAAGGACAGGGTCCGCAGCTTGGGACTGCTCCTTGACCCGGAGCTGTCTTTGGAAGCTCAAAGCGCGGTGGCGAGGAGCGCTTTCCTTCAGCTTCGGCTAATCCATCAGCTGGGCCCCTACTTAGCGACAGTGACGCATGCATTGGTTACTTCCCGGTTGGATTTCTGTAACACGCTCTACGTGGGGCTACCCTTGAAGACAGTCCAGATACTTCAGATGGTGCAAAATAGAGCTGCCAGGTTGCTGACGGGGACTGGGCATTATTCTCATATAACCCCAGTCCTCTACCAGCTTCACTGGCTTTCCATTGAAGTCTGGGCTCAATTCAAGGTGCTGGTTATCACCTACAAAGTCCTTAACGGCTTGGGACCTGGATACTTGAAGGAACGCCTGCTTCCATATTTCCCCTCCCACCCCTTGAGATCAGCGGGAGAGGCCCTTCTCCGGGAACCCTCCATGAAGGAAATTAGGAGGGTAAGTACTCGGAGGAGGGCTTTCTGTGCGGTGGTGCCCCATCTATGGAATGTGCTCCCCAGAGAGGTCCGCCTGGTGCCAACGTTATTTGGTTTTTGGCACCAGGCTAAGACCTTTTTATTTAAACGATATTTTAATAATCCTTAATATTAACTATCGGTTTTAATTTGCAGCCGGAATGAATCGGGTTTTTAATTTGTATAATCTGTATGTTTTGTTTTATATTTGTTTATTTATGTAAGCCATCCCGAGGCATTAAGCAATGGGACGGCATATAAAAACTCTAAATAAATAAATTGGAAGGACACGTGACTGGATGACCTGCATCCTACTCAGTATGCCCAGGTGCAGAGTTCAGATTAATAAATAAAAAAGGCTGCATGCTCCACAGCTCTCGCCTTCCCTCTTTCCCTCTGTCTCCACTTCCTTTGTGGCTTCCCCATTTGAATGTCTCAGTGTAAGCTCCATGGGGGCGGGGGTCTCTCCTCTTACAGGAGGGTGGGCCAGTGTGTCCAGCATGGGAATTTCCCGTGTGGTCCAGGCAGGGCTTCTGAAATTCTTGCACAGAGTCAGTTCATGAATCTGCCACTCCGTATCGTGCAACTGACCCCTTGTATGGAGGGAGAAAAGAGAAAGCATACCTTTGAAAGTGTGTTCTGATGCCATCCAGAGGCAAAGCACCACACAGTCCCCAGGACAGGCAGAGGAACTGGCCCAGGTGGGAGGTGCCACTTGACCCACTGCAGCTTCAAAAACTGCAGAAAAAGAAGAGACAGCACAGCAATGGCAAAGCATGCACTTAACTCCATCGCCGTCTTCACCGATTGACTCCAATTCTGCGGCAGCCGGGATTGCCTCTTGTGACTTCTTAACAATTCACTGCATCCTTTATGTTTGACATTTGCCAGTAGTCTGGATTGCCAAACTTCCAAGGTGTTGCAAGCCAGATTACTAAATGAAGTCATTACAGGTAGATAACATCTGGAAGCACCTCCAAAATTGGTGTAGGAGGCTGGTATTACATTTTCAGAGGATGTCTTGCTGTGCCAAGGAAAGGCAGAGGTGTGGAGAAAATGCAGGGACTCCATCTGCTCAAGACAGAGGGAAAAATTGCAAACCACCAAACCACTCAGTGATGCACAACCAGCAACCTTCCTCCAGGTTGAGGGCTGCTGCAGGTGGCACGGAAGGAGGGATGCTGCTTGTGGGGCTCAATTCAGGGCATGGTTGATGGACCGAAAGCAGAGAGTAACCATTAGTGGGGAATCAACAGGATGGTGGTCAGAGACAAGCAGGGAATCCAAGGCTCTGTCTTGGGGTTGATCCTGTTTATCTTTTCATCAGTGAAATGGAAGAAGGGGTGACCAGTCTGCTGATCAAATTTGCAGGCAATACTAAAATGGAGGCAGTGGCCACAACCAAGGAGCAGGTACTTCAGATCCAAAAGGATCTAGACAGACTATGGAAGTGGGCAAGGGACAGCAGGATGGCGTTCAATGTGGATAAGTGCAAGGTTTTGCACTTGGGGCATAGGAATGGGTGTCCTAAGGACAGGTTAGGGGACAAGTGGCTGGAGAGCAGCACTTGTGAAAGGGATCTTGGGGTACTGGTTGACTGCAGGCTAAACATGAGTCAGCAGTGTGATGCGGTGGCCAAGAGGGCGAACGCCACCCTTGGTTGCATAGCCAGAAGTGTGACTTCTAGATCAAGAGAGCTATTGCTACCACTCTACATGACTCTGGTGCACCCACAACTGGAGTATTGTGTTCAGTTCTGGCTCCACATTACAGGAAGGATATAGCCAGGTTAGAGTCAGTGCAGCAAAGGGCCACAAGGTTGGTGGCCAGATTGCAAGGAAAGCCATATAGTCTTGAATGAGGTGGAGCATATAGCTACCGTGTTTCCCCGAAAATAAGACACTATCTTATATTTTTTTTGGCTCACAAAAACACACTGGGTCTTATTTTCGGGGTAAGTCTTATTTTTTATTTTATGTTTTAATGTGCACAACAGTCCACACTTATTCATGTACAACAGCATGAATTCATGTACATTTGGTATATTTGGTATCACTCCGCCTGTGACAGGAGCCGGCACTGTAGAGGAAGCATCGGCTTATGCGGCTCTGCTCCCTCTGCAGGGAGCGCAGGGAGCAGAGCTGCATAAGTATGTTTCTTCCACACAGTGCACTAAGTTAAAGTTAAGTTAAAAAATAAAGTTTAGAAAGGCCCTTTATGTTCCTCACTGGCCCTGGGAATAAACACAGCTAGGTCTTACGTTCAGGGTAGGTCTTATATTTTAGCAAGTACTAAAAATAGTACTAGGTCTTATTTTCGGGGAAACACGGTACCAATAACCCCTGCCAGGGAGGGGAATTGTATGTACAAGCCCTGCCCAAGAGCAATGAATTTCAGTGCCTCTTGCCTTCTTGGAGAGTTTCTTCCCATTTCAGAAGCTTTGTTCACAGGATAGGATGAAGAGGCAACGCAGGTCATCAGTATGATCATGGACAGGGTGGTGCTCTTTGTATTTAAGACCTTTGAAAACCAATTATCTTACACCCAGTTGTGCAAGAACACACTGGTCTGGCTTGTGTTTCATGAAACCCGGAGGAACAAAAGGCACTCTCTCCTCCCAGAGGTGTTCTACGTCTCCTGCATGCAACACCATGCACGACAAGGCACTTCACTGCAACCCCACGGGCCACAGGCAGCTTCCAGCATGTCTTTTCTTCTAATTTTCTCTCTTCCTCCTCAGTCTCATTTTGTGATACTGGCTGATTGTAAGGAGGAGTTCTCTAGCCTTGTGGTGTGTTTTAGCACTGAGCTGGCTGTGGTGATCTAGGTTGGCCTTCCCCAACACGTTTGGACTGCAACGCCCAGAATTCCCAGTCAATGGCCCTGCTGGATGAAATTCTGGGAGTTGTAGTTTAAATGCCTCTGAAGTCCACCAGGTTGGGGATGGCGGTTCTAGATTTTCTGAGGACACATTTCATTGCTCCCTCATTTCTCCTCCCAACTGCCAACTGAAATAAATAAAATATTCACATATGTGTATGCATTTGTGCATGTGTCGAACAATCCTTCTTCACCTCATTCATTCCCCAACTGAACTCAACACCTCCCCAAGTACCTAGATTAAAATGTCGCAACAGAGATTTGTGCGTGTGTGTGTGTGCATGCATGTGTTCTTTTAGCAAAGATGCCACACCAAGCTTGCTCCTTTCCTTCTGTTTTTTGCTTCATCTCTCATTACCTCATTCCACCTGCCCACAAATGCATGCATTTAATTATTGGATTGGATTGCGACACAATCCTGCAGATTTGACCTGACATGCACACCGTTTCATGGCTGGATTGTTGCTGTTTTAATGAACGGTGTGGCCCAGTTCTCAAGATCTGCTGGCAGAGGGACTTCTGCAGGGGTAGGGAACCCTGCTTAGACAATTTGAGAAACTGTCACGGGCAAGCCAAGTCTCCAACCATCACCAGGCCTCAGGCTGTTTCTTTAGCAAAATGCCTGCGCAGCATGTGGGACGCAATTCCCGGCATGTGCCTGTGAACGCTGGGTGTGCGGCATTGAGACTGCGCCAGTGCGGGTAACAAACTGAGGACCCCCTTGCAGTTGTCTGTGTGAAAATATTCTCTGCGTTGCGATGCAGGGAATTGGAATGGAACACCCTAATCCGTTGGCTACCCCTGTGTGCAGAAGTGCGACAAAGGAAAGGACTTGGAGTAACCTTTGCAGTGATTTCAGAATAGCTTCATTAGCTGCTCATCTGATGCAGATAAAACCCGCTAAGGGGGTAATCCCATGGACGTTTAGCTAGACGAAAGGACTACAACTCCCAGCATGCCCTGGGCAGTGATTCCTAACAAGCACCAGAGGGCTAGAAACAGGAGGAGCCTTGCAGGGGAACAGGGGGTGGTGCTGGAATGAAATAAGCAGGTGTGATGATCAGAAAGCGAGGTTATGCTGGACAATTCATATAAATCTCAACATGGTTCTTTTCCAAAATTAGTGAAATTAATCCAGTGTTGCTGCTCTTTCCGAAATGGAAGAAAGTAACTATGCCTTACTGCTCTGTTTCGAAGGTCTCCATGCTGCCAGCAAAAGAGGGTTTTGAAAGCTGCCATTAGTACATAAACGGAAGCTAGCAAAGTAACACAGACTAGAAATAGGAACATTTGTCCAACACTGACTCTCAAAGGAAAACAATGGTTTTGTCATTTGTATCTGGTGTTATTCTGGCTTTATTCTTCTTGGTTTGGTTTGGTTTAGGACTTTTAACACGAGCAAATATTCTGCTGCGCATGTTATGACTGTTCTGTAGCACTTTGCGAGGAATACAACAAGGTCACAATTTCGTGTGTGCGCACATGGACTGCTGTGCTATGGTTCAGAACAGCATGTGCTGTTGTGGAAGAATCACAGAATCATGGACTTGCAGAGTTGGAAGGGCCCGAGGGCCATCAGGTGCAACCCCCTGCTCAGTGCAGGCCTCCAAGTTAATCTCTCCCTCTCAGTTGTCCGTCCAGCTGCATCCTGAATGCCTTCAGTAAGCGAGAGCCCACCAGCTCCCTAGGGTATGCACTCCCTTGTCCTACTGCGCTAACAGTCAGGAAGTTCTTCCTCATGTTCAGCCGCAACTTTGCTTCCTATCGCTTGAGCCCATTATTCTGCATCCGCTCTCTGGGATGATCGAGAAGAGATTCTGGCTGTCCTCTGCGTGACAGCCTTTCAAGTACTTGAAGATGGCCCTCATGTCTCCCCTCAGTCTTCTCCTCTCAAGGCGAAACATGCCCAATTGGTTCAATCTCTCCTCATAGGGCTTTGTTTCCAGTCCCCAGATCACTGTTGCTGCCCCCCTCTGAGCACATCCCAGCTTGTCTGCATCTTTCTTGGAGTGTGGTGCCCAGAATAGGACACGGCAGTACAGATGAGGTCGAACGCGTGCCGAACAAGAGGAACTCGTACTTCACATGATTTGGAAGTTATACTTCTATTAATGGTGCCCAAAATAACATTTGCCCTGTTGGCAGCCACATCACACGGTTGACTCATATTCATCCTGAGATCTACAACAATTCCCAGGCCCTTCTCGCTTGCAGTATCATTGAGCCAAGTATCCCCCACCTTGCATCAATACGTTTGGTTCCTTTTTGCTAGGCCCAGAACGTGGCATTTGTCCCTGCTCAATTTCATCTTGTGGCTTTCAGCAAGAGGACATTTACCAAAACGTATATGGGAGACATGAGCTGATGAGCAGGACAGGAGAATCCACCCAGCCGTAGGAGCAACAATCAAGACAATCATTACAACAAGAGACGTGGTTTCTGCAGAGCCATGCAGAAAGGGAGACTTTGGCAGCTCCAGTGTGCGTGCCAGATTGCTCTCCTGAAACAAAGTGGATTGCCTCGTACAGGTATAGGAATGTGGATTGTGTAAAGGTCTCCTGGCATCCTGCCCCATCCAGTCAAGTGTGACATCTACACTTAGTTAATTTGACTTACTTGGAAAGGACATCCTGGGCTCTTCCCTGGAATACGTGTGCAAACATGTCCTCAGTGGACAGTTGGTGGCTTCTTGCATCTCTCCAATCCCATTATGGCTACACAATAAATTTCATTTGTTGGGCTCCCTTCAGAGTCACTGTTCCAGGGCACTTTGCAAAACCCAGAATGGCTACAGTAATATGCCAGGAAATTGACACTTGGGTCCAAGTGAAAGATCAAACATTTCAACCTTTGCTGCTTTATTGACCAGTACCCCAATACCTGCTGTCAGTAATGACAATATATTATCGGGT